GAGAGAAGAAATTTAATTTGTAGGAATTTAAGTTTTATTGATTAAAAAAAAAAAAAAAAAAAAAAGAAGAAGCAAAACAAAACAAGCAAACAAATAAGTGAACAACGACGATATTGATGCGAGTTTCATACACTAGCTAGTCACACCCAACACGCATTGCAAGTGCCAATTATTCATGAGATCAAGCCTCAGTGGAGGCGTTGTTGATTCTGTGTGTTTCATTAGGTTGAAAAAGTATGTTTAAACATATACTACAATGTTATAGAGTAAAAAAAAGACTCAAGGGAGAAGGCTAGAAGACGATGGCCAGATGTGTAAGGTGCAGTGTCAAATTAAAAACGTAGACAAAACCACCTCCTCTAACAACCCATCCTATGTGGAATTCAATATTCATTGGCATCCAGTAGTTGCACATTCTTGTCCCATGCCATACTTTATATATTAGTAGTTTAGTACAACTCATGCCCTTCTATAATGAGTTAATTACCAAAATGGTTCATTGACTATCGCAAAAATATCAATTCAATCATCGATTATTTTTTTAACCTAATTAAGTCATCGACTTTGTAAATGTTAACCAATTTAGTCCTCCGTTAGGTTAGCAGTTGATATGGCATTGGTTTTTTGGAAACGACATTCGGATGTCGACGATCGCAACTTGGAATTGCAGGCGGTGGCGGACGTTGGCATTGCGACGGGGAGAGCCAGCAGAGGCGAGCTGGAATCTCCGACGACGTCACTACGTCTGCCTCTCCCTTGCTTCAGGTGATGATGGCTCCGGGCTGCTTTGTTAAGGTTGTCGGCCAGGAGGCGCCGCGAACAGAGGGGAGGAGTGGGTTGAAGAAGTGGAGGGTTGATGGTCATCCTCATGGGGAGTTTGGAGCATGAAATTCGTGGGGAAGAAATCCATTTCAATGCAAGTACTCATGATAATCTTTGGCTTTGATTCATGGAAGAGTGATCAAAGAATCGAAGATAGACTTAGTTACAGGAGGAACTTTGATCTGTTAGTTATTGTGCAAGCAAAGAGAAAATCCTTTTAGTTAACATCAAAGAAATTAAAAGAGAAGATCCTTTCAAAAAAAAAAAAAAAAGAGAAAAAAAAATGATGTGAAATTCCTTTATTACCCTCAAGTTTAATAGACATTAGATACCAAACTTAACAGAGGACTAAATTGGTTAACATTTACAAAATCGAGGATTTAATTAGGTAAAAAAAATAATCGAGGACCAAATTAGTAATTTCGCAATACTTAAGGAACCATTTTGGTAATTAACTCTTCTATAATTTGCCTTCAACAACTTTTATGGATTATTAAGAGATTTTTAATTTTAATTATTATTATAGTCATTCTCAACGTGTAGGGCATTTGGAGATTTGATTCTATATTATTGAAGATACACGGATGTAATTTGATATCAGAGTCATGTTAAGAGAAATCCGTAATTACCATTGGAGAGTGTGCACTGAGTAAATTTTGTATTCTGGTAATAATCAGGAGAGTTAAAAAAAATTTGTGCAGAGAATTATATTTTACCTACTTGATCGTCTTTCGAGGTAAGAGTGATGTTATTTTTATTTTAATAGATAAAAGTTTAAAAGACCAAGTCTAATATCTTGTCATGGCGCAGCGTTACTTGCTATGCAAGAATAGAGCTTTACTTATAGCGTTGGACTCAATGGTAAGAGTGAAAATACCAATTTTTTTAATATAATTAATTAGTTATTACAATCATCTTGATGGTTTTATTAGGATTGGTCAAATATAAAAAGTATAGGATATGTAAGAAAATATGACTAAGTTTTATGTAAAAATTGTCATTGGCCTTTTCTAGGCGGTGCTAAGTCAAATTTCATTATCATTTTGAGTATGTGCATCTACCAACAGTTACGCCATGACTCAGGTTCACCTTGCAATGTGGATCTATGTCTAAAATACACCATTTATATATTAAATGTTCACAATTTACATATTGAACAATTAGTATATAAAATTGTAAACATTCAATATATAAATTGTAAACATTTAGGGTGAATCGCACCTAGGAATCAGAATCGGAATGGGTATCAAATAATTGGTAATAGTAATGGGTTTTGGTAAAAGTATTTAACGTGTTTGGTAGTAGGGTAGAATGTGAATGATTACTAATAGTAGTACTTCAGAGTGAATAAGGGAATGAAATCCCTATTTTATTTGGGTATGGGTTTTTCAGTTGATGGGGTATTCGAAACCTATAGTAGTGTTCTAAAAACCTGTCAACCAAACAACAACAACAATCACTTTCATACCCATTTCTATGGGCAAAACCCACAAACCAAACACACCCTTAGTATATAAAATTGTGAACATTTAATATATAAATGGTTTATTTTTAAACCTGGTCCACAGAATAATTTGTCGTCCACGTACAATGTGTGCGGTATTTTTGTGAAGTGTTTTAGGCTGTGATTATCCCAACCAATATACCTATTTATAAAATGATGCGGCATTTGTCACATCATTTATATTTTTTTTTGGGTAAAGGGATTTGCAAATTTGCAAATTCGGCTGCGGCAGCTTTTGTATTTTTTGTATTTTTTTATTATTTCATTTACTTTTTAATATTTTAATATAATTAATATAAATTATAATGTTATTTTAATATATTGAGCTTACGTAAGGATGTAGTGTAAATAACAAATGATTTACAAATTAAGTAATGTTAAAGTGAGACTCATTTTTTAGATTGTAAGAAATTTACAAGGATAATGATAGCCTTAGTCCATGTCTTCCCTTAGATCATTGTGAGAGCTTTATATATTTAAGTGTATTCTGGCCCATCATTGTTCCTGGACTTGCAGAGTCTTTTGGGCCCAAAAGCCTATCCAACATTCCAACAAGCATCTAAACAGTAAAAATAGTTACATGTCATACCGTGTAGTGTGAATATTGATCAAAAATGACATTCAGATTATTTAGTTACTGTGTGTAACATACTATGTATCATAATTAGTTAATAAATTATATATCTAATACAATTAATATATATATTTGTAGTTAACATTTTACTATATCTACAAATAATAAATTTATTTATGATACATAATCTATTAAGTGAATTGAATGTACATAATCTGAATATAATTTTAAACCAAGATCTATAATTTACCCTTACACCTATAAAGGGTGTTATATTGGCATGGTGAATTATGATATGATACACATTATAAATTACTATATGAGTACGTAGGGTGAGCTTGAGGCAGGTGGCTATGGACTTATGGAGTAGCTTTTTAGGTTGTTCCCCTTCTTCTTCCCATTCCAAAACACATAGCACAAACTGATACGCTTAAATTTACGCAGCACGCAATTTGATGCGTACGATGTTATTGATCATCGACCAGAAAGCACAACACTCACGCACTCATCATGAACTATATAATAATAATAATAATAATAATAATAATAATAATAATAATAATTGACAATAATGCACTCATGCGTGTGCATTGTTTCTTAATTAGTTGCAAATGCACTATTAAGAGTTTCTAAATAGTTGTAAATATAAAAATTTCATTGCATTTTTTTACAAATTTTCTTTTTAATTTTCAACCCTTGATCAATCCAAATGAATCGATGGATGCGATCAATCCACACTTTTTACATAGGGCATCTGTCCTCACTTGAACCTGCCCATGGTTGGATTTGTATATATCTAATTAAAATACTTACAATGATAAAAGAGAATACTCCGTATTAAAGATGGATGAATATCAAGTAAGGATATAAAGGAAAAATAATATTCACTTTTGTGGGGTGGTCCCTATGAATACGATGCACTAGTCCTTTTACCTAATGGGTCGATGAGTCATCATGAGTTGTTCTTTCACAATTCTGTTGGGTCTTAATATGGGAAGTTTGAAGTGGGATAGCTGATTGTGTTAATTAGAGGGTATAAATAGTTGATAACATTAGCTGATTGTAGAAAAGTGTTTGATAAATTAGTTGTTAGCTGATAGCTATTTGGTATAATTTCTTTTCTCAAAAAGCTAATTGAAAAAGTTGTTATGAGTAGCTTTTTAAATTTTAGCCTTTTGGAGTTGCAAAAAACTAATTAACCAAACATATATATTGATATTTTAACTAAATTAAACAATTAATAGTGGTCAAATAAGCCAAAATTGACCTATAGGCCAATTTTTTACCAAACAGGGCCTTTGCCTTTTATAAGTGGACAAAGAATAGAAGATGAAATATATATTAGAAGGGATATTGCTAGTTGTATACAAATATTTAATCTGTAACTAATTTTATTCCGATATAGTACCATTTTCTATTATTTATTGATTTCCTATTCTGATCTCCAAAACTACTCCAACATTTAATCCTTTCATTGGAAAGAAAAAAAAAAAAAAAAGAAAGTATACACGCATTAAAGAGTGAAAATTGATTGAAAAAGTTACAGTACATTTTTGGAAATTGATAGAAAAATTAGAATAAAAAAGTGACTCCTTCCATGATTTCTGTCTTATTTTATGTGTCTTATCGAGTTTTGGCTGAAGTTATTCTTAATTCATTTTTTCATAACATTAAATTTAGTATTAATATATAAAATTGATATATTTAGAAACTGTACTAAAAGTACTATTAAACACAAAAAATTAAATTTAAAAATAAGTATAAAATAATAAAGAAAATAAAGAAGAAAGAATTTGTTTGACCTAGTAAGTAGGACAGATAAAATGAGAAAAAGGGAATACCATTTTTTAGTAAGTGGAACATAACATTTATACTTATTATTATTTCCAATAAATTTGTTGCACAAATTATTTTTATTGTGATTTATATCTTTAGATAATCTATATTGCACAAGAGTAAATATGAAGTAAAATGAATTCAAAATAATGCCCTTATTAGTAATTAGTACGGAGTCAACAGTGCACCAAAGAAAATAAAATTTTTCCTGAGCCCTTCCTTAAATGGCTGCATGCATATGCTCTTTCACCATTTTCATACTCCCTTACCCTTCTTCTTCTGCAAGTCTGCCGTAGAGTCCTCTCGTTTCTTCTCCCACCATCATTTTTTAGAAGAAAAAAAAAAAATGCGTCTCTTCTCTACTGCGAGAGACTGAGGGAGAGACTAGAGAGGGTGGGTACGGTGGTGTTTCCGCACAGTGATCTAAGCTCACAGCAATGGCTCCCCGCGGAAGACCCAGAAAAGTTCAGTTTATTTCTTTCTTTCGTTTCGTCTCCTCTGATCTTCGTGGAGTTTCTCCGGTCGTGTTTCTTTTACTTATTCATGTTTTTTTTTTTGGAGACAGAGGTCTACGAGAATGGACGCAGCGCTTGATGCAATGCGGAATCTAGGTTTTGACGAGGGAGTTGTTACACGAACAGTGAAGGAGCTTCTCGATGTACGTCTCGGAAATTGTACTTTACCGCTGGTTTTTCCTCTTCCCTGTTTGTTTGGATAGAAAAATTTCTTCGAAATTGAGGAAAATGAGAAACGATTATGAGTATTCTCATCTAGGAACTTGATTTCCGTTCATCAATATATTCTCAGTCAGATTGTTGTATGTATTCATGCGGCAATTTTAGGTTTTCGAAAAGTAATCGAGTTTATGCTAGGTTTAGCGGAGGTTTAAAATGGCTTGCTATATTGTATTGGGGAAGTTCTAGAATTTTTTATTTTTATTTTTTGCACAAAATTTGTTGCTAGAAAAATGATTAAAGTAAAAGTTTTGTTTCAAGGATGATTTTGGTGATCTGATGTTATTAATAGATATATGGAGATGATGGTTGGCCATTCATTGAAGAGTATGGGTACAAGGAGCTCATTGATGCAATTCTTCGTGGTTCGGAGACATCAAAAGATGAAAACATGGTGGAGGTATGGAATAAATGTATTTTGTTGCATTACCATGATCATGTGTTTTCCTGTTCCTTATGGATGAATTGTATAAACTCTATATAAGCAAAGCCCCTGGGTGGCTTGGCCTTGTTAGTTTTGTGCATCACTTTACCTCATTTTGATGTTTCAGAACTAATTTATCAGGTGCAATTGATGAATTTAGATGAACTTGATTGATTATCTTTTGATGTGTGGGCTAATCTAGCAGTGTTGTTATCCAAACTGAACTTGATTTACAGTGGAACTAGTGCTAAAAGAAGTTCAATACTGAACTTTGTGGAAAACTATTGAAAAAACATGGCTGGGATACTGCCCAGTGGTATTGTTTAGCTTCGATTGTCTTTTTTTTCTAGAAGTGCCAATCTCTCATTGTTCATGTAGACAATTTATTTGATCCAACTTTTCGGTGAGCTCGTATTATTTATGTTTATGGAGTTTACTGTAAGAGTTCGTGTGGTAGGACTGTTGGGTTGAAGTGTTCTTGTGCTGTTTTAACTGCGCTTGTTTGTGTCTATAAATTCCAGAATGATTCTACACAAATTGAAGTAGCTAACGTAAGGCCTGAAGACGTAGCTGGATCATCTAACACTGCTTCAGGACAAATATGCTCTGAAGTTGGTGATTTTGCACCAGAGGCTGAGAACACTATTGTGAAATCACCTTCTTCGAGTACTTGCAATACTGTGAAGAACACAGACAACAGAGGTAATCAAATTAGTATGTTCTCTTACTTTGTTACTAGGTCTACTAGGAACTTTAATTTGCAATACATTATGTAACTCAATCTTGCTAGTTTAGTAATGTCTTCCCTGCATATACCAGTAGCGTGGATTTATCAGTTGGCCACATAAATGTTTCGTCAAATTGAGGGATGACTACTTTTTCATTCTTACTTGCTGTCAACTGCATTATTAAAATCAACTCCCTTGCCACCTTTAAAGTGTGCCGATGTAGAAGGTTTTGCCTGTGATAAATTGTGCTGATGTACATATAACAAGGTATCACTCCATTAATGTTGTGGATAACAATGTTGTTAGTTTCTTAAGCAAATAGAGTTTGAACATTTTAAGTTTTAATAGCTTCTGCTGTTTCAAATTTGTTGGAGTAATTAATACCGCTGCAGACTTTGATCATCTTAGGTTAATGCAATGACTGTTGTTCTGTATTGTGTGTCAAGCTCATAGTGAATAGCAAAATTAGTTTCCTGTCTGATCATGTGTACTTGTGACAAATGCTTTGAGAATTTGATTACAGCGATTTTCATTCTTCCAAATAGTGAAATGCAAGTGAACATTACATGATATTTAAGCCAAGGCTGTTAAGCATTTTGTTCATTACCAACTCGTGTTTAGCACTTACAAGTAGCTTAAGAATCATCAATATCAGCAAATAAACTTGTTTATCCAATAATGATTCGTTTGGAAATCTGGACTTAATTTGAGATTCGTGATGCATATTGCTAAAGCACAGAAATTCGCTTTTACTATGTTGGCAGCCATTTAAATTCTATATTCCTGCCAAGCACCTTGTGCTCAGATGGCATATAGTGACCTCTCCCATGTGGGAGGTCATGAGATCGAGCCTCAGTGGAGGCGTTGTTGACTCTGTGTGCTTCATTAGGTTGAGAAAGTATGTTTGAACTGATACTACAATGTAATAGAGTCAGCAGCATTCAAAAAAAAAAAAAAAAATTCTATATTCCTGATAGCAATCATATTTTGCAGGAGGTACTCCCCTTGCCATTGAAGATATAAGTGGTCGGAAAGAAGTAACAGATTACCAGAGTAACCAGATAACCTCGACTCAGAAAGTGAGATGTAATGATATCTGCGTTTCAAGTGGGAATCCTGAGGCTGAAATGAACTCTCAGAGCGCCTGTGCAGTTTTGGCCCCAGTTGTGGCTTCTCCCAAGACACCCTTGATTCTGAAGGACAAATCCCATGATGGTCGCAAAATGAATTCACAGAGTGCCTCTGCGGTTCACTTTTCACCTCCGACTTCATCCCAGACACCAGTTGATCCACAGCTGGTTACTCCTCAATCATCTCGTAGGCGTTTACCTTGTTATGGCTGGATTGATAGTGACGATGAAGAAGAGCCGGTTGATTTGATACACTTGACACCAGTGGATCCTGCCAAACGACCAACACAATTTGCTAGGAACCTAACCAGGTGAAGCACCGGTCAGAGTAGGATGTAAAGCCCGGAAATCTCGTCCCTAGACTTGTCTCTTTGTTCCTATGAAAACTAACTAGTAACTACAGCTCCAGACACATATCAATGTATCTAATCTAGTCTACCATGATATGATATTATAGTTGGAAGACTTACAATGTTGTCTACTTGTGTTGTTAACACATATTAATATATTTCACTTCTCATGTTCTTACATTTTATGAGAGCTATTGCTTTGCCTCGGAGACTGGTGAAAGAAGTAAATTACAGATGTACGTCAACTGATCTATACTAGTACAACAAAGTCTTTCAACTTATTTTGGGTTGGTTAATCAGTTGAATTGTGTCTTGAAAATTTTTTATTTCAACTTTTTTCAACTTATTTTGGGTTGGTTAATCAGTTGAATTGTGTCTTGAAAATTTTTTATTTCAACTTTTACTTGACTTGATAGTTATGATACATAGATTGGTGAGTATATTTTCCTTAGTTTATGTAAAGGGGATTTTACTATTTTAGTCTCTCTCTTTTTTTTTTTTCATGCTTTTTTTAAATTAGCTAGACATGTTACACGTGTCTAACTGGCATTAGCTAGTCTAATTCGCATTACGGGTTTAGGCGGTTCTCTTAACAGAAAGCAACGGATTTCCCCAATCATCATCGTTCTTCACTGCCACAAAGGATAAGATATTTCTCGCTTAAACCTCTGGGTTTCCACGCTCTCCTTTCAACTCTTTTGAACAAAATCGCTACAAATCCTTGATTCTTCTCTATTCAAACCCTATATTCAATGTTTCCAGGATTTAGATAAGCTTCATACAAGTATTTTCACCATGAGTTTTCCGGCGATTTTTCGCGGTAATGTCGTTCCTCTATTGCAGTGCAGCTCCTGCTCTCACCTCCGCTTCCAACCTTTGCTGTCTTGCACGGGTATTGCTCGCCAGAAACAAATCGATTTTCCGACCAAACACCTGCTTAGGTTCGGCGCAACTTGAGATTTATTATGCTCTATAGTGTATATTACTACTTCAATGAGTGATCAATTAAAACAAGTGATTATTTCAATGCATTGGTTGAATAAGCTTATTAAATAGAGTGTAAGTATTAACTTTTTATTTTCTAATGTTTCGGTATTGACATTAGGTTCGCGTTCAATATGAAGAGAGATGTAATTTGCAGCTTTAGTGCGTCAGAAACCGAGCCTGATAGGAATGAAGAAAATGTATTTTGTCCCCCTTTATTTCTTTTGTTGCACGGATAAATTATATTATCTTCACTAGATTGATGCATCGCAATTTATTATTTGATTCTCGATACTGTGAGTTCTTGGCTTCACCTTAATGTTTGGTTTTGTGTTTTAAAGGAAAGGAAGTTGCATGAAGAAGAAAACAGCTCGGGCTCAGCTGACTCAGCTTCAGCAGATACATCAGAGCCAAACTCTTTGGCTGATCAAGTAGGATTGCTTGTTTTTTTTTTTTGGTTACATTGGGAGATTTAATCATTTCCAATTTGAAATTGAAATGTCATGTTGTTTGATTTGGAAATTTTTATTGGAAAATGTTTTCTGCTAGGATAATGGACAAAATTTTGGGATGCTCGAGTCAAAAGACTTGGTCAATGGTAATAGTGTAAACGTCAATGCCCAAACTGGAAATGAGGTATTTTTGCTTTTATTTGCTTTTGAGAGGAATGTGGCCACTGATTTTCATTTAATGGTGTAATTGAAACTATTTTGCTTGCATGCTTGGTGGTATTTTTCATGTTAATAGCTCATGAGTTCTAGCTTCTTCCATTTTCTCACGATTGTGTGAATCTTTTGAATCTTGGGAGGATAGTATGAAGTAGTTTTTAATACATTTTTCCAATTGAATGATTTGCAAACGTGTTTGCTGCCTGCTTAAGGGAAGTGGGGAGGCAAGACTGCAAGGGGAAAGGAAGTGAAGTATGTGTTAGTTTCACCCTTGTTAAAACTTGCTGGGCATTGCTTCAGATTAATTTCAACTTATGAACTCCTTAAATATCCCAAGTTCCAGGCTAGTATGTTCTACAAGTAACAATCTCCAAAGAGTTACAAATATTCTTTCAGCTGTATAGGATGACGAATTGACTAGTAAGGGACTGGAAGTTTGCAGTTGTTTTGCGATTGAGCTTTCCATTTTCAATTCTTTTGTTTTACTCCATGTACCATTTGTGTTGATGCAGGATGCCGATGACATTCAAATTGCAAGCGGATCCCCTCTGCCAGGTCTCAAGGTGATAAGTGTTGACCAATTATTATTATAATTTATAATTATTATTGTTGTTATATTATTATTATTACTGTCATTTTTCCCTTGTTATATATACAATTTGACTTAGTCTCTCAATATTTTATTTCTGTTACTCCATCACCAGCCACAGCAACTTGATGAAGCTATCAGGATTCCAAAGGAAACTATTGATATTTTGAAGGATCAAGTATTTGGTTTTGACACTTTTTTTGTGACAAGCCAGGAACCATATGAGGTGAGTACCTCATTGCTTATACACACAAACTCACATACAAGAAAAACAATCATATGATAATATCAATTCAATATACTTTCCCCTGTCTGTTTGGTCCATGTTAAATTAAAAGTTTACAATTTGAAACAAGAAGGGTATTTTGAATTTCTTTATTATTTTCTTTCACTCCACTTGTGTAGTTTTATTTTTAAACATTTTCTTTGATATACTTTCAGGGTGGAGTTTTATTTAAAGGGAATCTACGAGGGCAGGCTGCAAGAAGTTATGAAAAAATATCAAAGAGAATGCAGGTATTTGCTTTGCAAAATTTGAGCTGAATCATTCTACAGCTCCTATAATCAATCTAGAATAACTTGTAATTTTGTGTGCAGGACAGATTTGGAGATTTGTATAAACTATTTCTTTTAATCAATCCAGAGGACGATAAGCCTGTAGCGGTTGTGGTTCCACGAATAACCCTGCAACCAGATACAACTGGTAGTTTTATAACGTCTATCTTCTAGATTTTACAGACTTTCATATTTGCTGGTTTAGCACTCTCTTTTCAGCTAGACTTTATTTACTCTACCTTCTGCAGCTGTCCCCGAATGGTTTGCTGCCGGTGCTTTTGGACTTGTCACAATATTTACACTTCTTCTTCGTAATGTGCCTGCATTGCAAGCAAACTTGTTGTATGTACTCTTTTCACTTTTTAATTTTATTTCATACTCTGTACTCATGTTCTAATTTTAGTAAACAGTTAACACTAGATTTATATTCCATGGACCAAAATATAACATATCTTAACTGTTTACTATTTCTCCGGTTTCTTTTTGTTTTTTGTCTTTTGTTTGATAATATTATTTAGTGTTCAATTTACACAGGTCAGTTTTTGACAATTTTGACTTGTTGGAGAATGGCCTTCCTGGAGCACTTGTAACTGCACTTATTCTCGGTGTTCATGAAATTAGCCACACTTTAGTTGCACAAAAAGCTGGAATTAAGCTGGGTGTGCCATATTTTGTTCCTAGCTGGCAGGTAAGAATGTAAGAGATGTTTGTTCATGTACAGTTAATTATTGGCAAGCCCTTTGTACATTTATTTACACTTTGTTGATGGCTTTATTTATATTTACATCAATGCATTTGTTTATTGTTACTTTGATATTATACTTATATTGATTGACATTGGATCTAAATTCTTTGTTCTAAAGTAATGGAAATCTTGGCTCTAGAATGTGCATGTCGCATATAGTATTAGTATGTTTAATCTTGCATTAAATTTGTTAGGAAGACTAGAGAGACTAACCTGTTGAAGTAATTTCTTCACAATTCCTGAGTTTCATGATTCCACTTTATTTACTCAGAATTGAATGCAGAATAATGTTCCCCCTCTACCCACTGCTAACGAGCTACTTTGCTGGCAGATAGGCTCTTTTGGTGCTATAACAAGGATTTTGAATATAGTACCTAAGCGCGAAGATCTTTTGAAGTTTGCCGCAGCTGGCCCTTTGGCTGGGTTCTCATTGGGATTTATTCTTTTGCTTTTGGGATTCTTCCTACCACCTGCTGATGGCTTAGGTGTTGTAGTAGATCCCTCTGTGTTTCATGAATCACTTCTGGCTGGGGGCATAGGTGAGTAATCACTAATCAGCCTTGAGAGCTCTTTCTGCATCCAGTTCATAATCAATCAATGGTACTCTACTTGCAATGATGTTCTTTCTTTCTTTCTTTCTAGCTAAGCTGCTTCTTGGAGATGCTCTGAAGGAAGGCACTCCCATATCTGTAAATCCACTTGTACTATGGTCCTTGGCTGGACTTCTCATCAACGCCATTAACAGTATCCCTGCAGGAGAGCTCGACGGTGGAAGAATTTCTTTCTCCATATGGGGGAGAAAGGTACATTTTACAGAATCCACTCCACCCACCCCCTCTATGACTAACTAAAAGAATAAAACAGAATTCAATAAAATAAAATATCAAAGTCTTATGAAATGTACTACTATGTGGTGATGCAATGAGGTTGATGTTGCAGACTTCAGCTCGCCTCAGTTCTGCCTCCATTGGGCTTCTTGGAATATCAGCATTATTCAGTGACGTGGCATTCTATTGGGTGGTCCTAATATTTGTGTTGCAGAGAGGGCCGATTGCTCCACTGTCTGAAGAAATCACAGATCCAGACAACAAATACATTGCTCTTGGAATTGCCGTCTTGCTCCTCGGCCTTCTAGTATGCTTGCCATATCCCTTCCCTTTCAATAATGAAGCTGTTATGGTCTCTTCAGATATTATTATGTAATAATTAATATAATACACACACACTAACACAATTTTTGCTTTTGGCCTGACTTATGAGGCAAATTATATCATGGACCAAGGTCTGCCTTGTATTGTAGACTCTGGTTCAAAAATAACTTTCAGATTTTGTATCTATAGTTGATACATTATTTACCTGAAGTTGATAGTCCTGTACATGTAGCTATCATATCATGTGTCAACAATTATCAAGTCAGATTCTGTATTTATAGTTAACGCATTCTGTACATGCAGATGATAGTTTATGTACCTGTAACTATCATATTAAGTGTCAGTAATTATCAAGTGATTTGTTTATATGTACAGAATTGTTAACTGTATGAAGTTACAGAATTTTTGTATCAAGTTCACAATGCTAATATTGCTGCGAATTAACCACTCGCAACAACTACCAACTACCAACAAAACAACGCTAGTTATTGCAAGGAGCTAACATAGCTGAGCCTCTTTAATTCAAATTTCAAGAGAATTG